GAGAGAGAAATAGAGAAACAGAGAGAGAAACATTGATATGAGAGAGAGACATTGTGCCCCAATTGAGGCAGTGGATGGAATATGCAACCCAGGTACATCCCCTGACCAGGAATAGAACCTGCTAACCTAAGTTGCTCGGCCCAACACCTTAACTACTGACCCACACTGGCCAGTGCAGTAATGGATATTTTCTACTTCTTAATACCTTCACCTTTTCACCTAGCCTCCCAACTTCCCTCCCATCTAGCAACCATTAGTGTGTTCTCTGCATCTATGAGTCTGTTTTAATTTTATTTATTTGTTCTTTAGATTCCACATATAAGTGAGATCATATGGTATCTGTTTCTCTCTCTCTCTGTCTGACTTCTTGCACTTACCATAATACCCTTTAGGTCCATCCATGTTGTTGCAAATGGTAAGATTTTATTCTTTTCTATGGTTGAGTAGTATTCCATTGTATATATGTACCACATCTTCTTTTTTTTTTAATGTATTTTATCAATTTTTTACAGAGAAGGGAGAAGGATAGAGAGTTAGACACATCAATGAGAGACAAACATCGATCAGCTGCCTCCAGCACACCCCCCCCTACTGGGGATGTGCCCGCAACCAAGTTACATGCCCTTGACTGGAATCGAACCTGGGACCCTTTAGTCTGCAGGCCGACGCTCTATCCACTGAGCCAAACCGGTCAGGGCTGTACCACATCTTCTTTATCCAATCATTGATCAAAGAACACTTTGGTTGTTACTATGTCTTGACCACCATGAATAATGCTGCAATGAATATAGGGTGCATATATCTTTGCAAGCAAATGTTTTCAATTTTTTCGTGTAGATACCTAGAAGAGGGATTGTTGGGTCATATGGTAACTCTATTTTTAATATTTTGAGGAACCTCCATACTGTTTTTCATGGTGGCTCTACCAGCTTATATTTTCACCAGCAGTGAATGAGGGTTCCTTTTTCTCTACAACCTCTCTAACACTTATTATTACTTGTCTTATTGATAAAAGCCATTCTAATGGTATGAATTGGTATCTCATTGTAGTTTTGATTTGTGTTTCCATAATAGCTAGTGAACCTGAGCATCTTTTTATATATCTGTTGCCCATTTGTATGTCTTCTTTGGAGAAATGTCTGTTCAGGTCCTCTGCCCATTTTATTTCCAATCCTCACCAGAGATTATGCTTAGAGAGAGAAAGGCAGAGGGGGGGAGAGAGGGAGGGAAAGAAAGAGAGATAGAAACAGTAATGCAAGAGAGAAACATTGATTGGCTGCCTCTGTACGTGCCCTGACTGGCAATTAAACCCACCACCTGAGCATATGCCCTAACCAGGAATTGAACCAACAACCTTGCGCTCCACCAGCTGAACCACTCTGGCGGGGCCCTCTGTCCATTTATTTATTTACTTATTTATTAATTAATATATTTGTTTTGATTTCAGAAGGAAAGGAGGAGAGAAAGAAATATCAGTGATGAAAGAGAATCATTGATCAGATGCCCCGTACTGGGGATCTAGCCCACAACCTGGGCATATGCCCTGGACTGGAATAGAACCCAGGACCCTTCAGTCCACAGGCTGATGCTCTATCCACTGAGCCAATCCAGCCAGGGCTGCCCATTTATAAATTGGATTGTTTGTCTGTTTGGTGTTGAGTTGTATGAGTTATTTATGTATTTTGGATATTAAGCCCTTGTCAGAGTCGTTTACAAATACCTTCTATCATTCGGTTGGTTGCCTTTTTGCTTTCTTTTGCTGTGCAGAAGATTTTTAGTTTGATATAGTCCCATTTGTTTATTTTTGCCTTTACTTCTCTTGCTTTGTCAAAATCATAAAATCTTCTCTATGGCCAAGGTCTCTTGGGGTTCTTATCCCAGTATCAAGAAGGGTTCAGGAATCTGGAAAAAGGGCTGTGCATAGATGACATAGGAATCCAGAGACTAATAAAGAATCCTGAGACGTGATATAATTTTGAAAGGCATTGGGGTTCAGAGGACCTTCAGCTAAAGGAACTGAAGACTCCCTCCTTGTCTAGGACCCTTGCTTTTATTAACACTAGAGGCTTGGTGCACAAAAATTTGTGGACTCGGGGGGGGGGGTCCCTCAGCCGGGCCTGTGCCCTCTCGCAGTCTGGGACCCCTCGGGGGATGACCACCTGCTGGCTTAGGCCTGCTCCCCAAGGGATTGGGCCTAAGATGGCAATCAGACATCCCTCTGGCAGCCCGGCAGCCCTTGGGGGCTGTCCACTTGCCAGCGGGGAGCAGACCTAAGCTGCAGTCAGACATCCTTAGCGCTGCTGATGAGGCAGGAGAGGCTCCCACCACCACCGCTGTGCTGGCAGCCATCAGCCTGGCTTGTGGCTAAGTAGAGCGCCCCCATGTGGGAGCGCACTGACCACCAGAGGGCAGCTCCTTCATTGAGTGTCTGCCCCCTGGTGGTAAGTGTGTGTCATAGTGACCAGTCATTCCCAGTCTTTCTGCTGTTAGGGTCATTTTGCATATTACCCTTTTACTATATAGGATAGAGGCGTGGTGCACGGGTGGGGGCCGGCTGGTTTGCCCTGAAGGGTGTCCCGGATCAGGGTAGGGGTCCCGCTTGGGTGCCTGGCCAGCCTGGGTGAAGGGCTGATGGCTATTTGCAGCTAGTCACACCCCCTTCAGGGTGGGGGTCCCCATTGGGGTGCCTGGCCAGCCTGGATGAGTGGCTAATGGCTTTTTTCAGGCTGGCCACACCCCCTTTAGGGTGGTGGTCCCCACTGGGGAGCCTGGCCAGCCTGGATGAGGGGCTGAGGGCCATTTTCAGGCTGGCCTGCGACTGAAGCTGCCAGCCTTTCTTTTTTTAATTCTGGGATTTATTTACCTTCTATAATTGAAACTTCTTCGCTGTCACTGGAGCTGAGAGCCGGCTCCAGCTCTGAGGCCATGGCCTGCTGAAAGCAGGTATCTGGGGTTTGTTTAGCTTCTATAATTGAAACTTAGTTGCTGTCACTGGAGCTGAGAGCTGGCTCCAGCTCTGTGGCCACCGCCGGCTGAAAGCAGGTATCTGGGGTTTGTTTAGCTTCTATAAATGAAACGTTGTTGCTTTCGGAGCTTAGAGCCGGGCCGCAGCAGGCGGGGAATCTTGGCTTCCTCCATCGCTGGAGCAAGCAAGCCTCCTGCTCCCTTCAGCTGCGTGGCTGCCGGCCGCCATCTTGGTTGGCGGTTAATTTGCATATCACTCTGATTAGCCAATGGGAAGTGTAGCGAAGGTATGGTCAATTACCCTTTTGTCTTTTATTAGATAGGATTTATCCTAAGGCAAGGTGGAGGTAATACACTTCAAAGTGCAAGGTTTCAAAGGGTACAGAATACAGAAGCATTGTCACTTTGGGGAATAGCCTACGGCTGTTCAGGTGTTTAGCCAGTAGGAGGTAATAGCATGTAGATTAAGATGCCTTTTAGCTGTCTGGCAGCCAAGCAATAATCCCTTTTCAGGTTTGGGGAAATGCCTTCAGCCATTCCCAACACGTGACTACATGTGTGACTCAACCCTGTTGAGTCCCCAAGTTTCATCAGCCTTTTGAAACTCTTGAAATTATGACATGCTGGATTGGTCTCCGGCAAAGGTCCATAAGTTTAGTACCTATGTTTTCTTCTCTGCAATTTATTTTTTCACATCTTATATTTAGGTCTCTGTTCCATTCTGAATTAATTTTTGTACATGGGGACAAACTGTAGTCTAGTTTCATTCTTTTGCATGTTGCTTTCCAATTTTCCCAGCACCATTTATTGAAGAGGCTTTCTTTTCCCCATTGTACATTTTTAGCTCCTTTGTCAAAAATTATTTACCCGTATACATGTGGTTTTATTTCTGGGCTCTCAATTCTGTTCCATTAGTCTGTATGTCTGTTTTTCTGCCAATACCATGCTTTTTTGATTATCATTGCTCTGTAGTATGATTTGAAGTCAGGTAGTGTGATACCTCTGGCTTTGTTCTTTTCTCTTGATTGTTTTGGCTATTTGGGATCTTTTGTGGTTCCATACAAATCTGATGACTTTTTATTCTGTTCCTTTAAAAAATGACATTGGGATTTTGATGAGGGTTGTATTAAATGTGATTAATGCTTTGGGTAATATAGCCATTTTAATTATGTTGATTCTTCCAATTCATGAATCTGGAATATCTTTCCATTTTATTGTGTCTTTTTCAATCTCTTTTAATAATGCCATGTAGTTTTCAGTAAATAGATGCTTTACATTCTTTATTAAGTTTATTCCTAAGTATTTTATTCTTTTTGTTGCAATTGCAAAAGGAATGTATTTACTTTTTCTTTTGTTTCCTTGTCTAAGGATATATATCAGGAAAAATATTACCAAGACAAATGTCAAAGAGTTTACTGCCTATGTTTTCTTCTAGGAATTTTATGGCTTTGTGTCTTATATTTTAGTTTTTAATCCATTTTTAGTTTATTCTTGTATATTGTTTAAGAAAGTGGCCTAGTTTCATTTTTTTGTACTGTCCAATTTTCTCAACACCTTTTGTTAAATAGACAGTCTTTACCACATTGTATATTCTTGCCTCTTTTGTCATAGATTAATTGACCATATTAGGCTTGAGTTTACTAGTATTTCTGGGCTTTCTATTCTAACATGACCAGTCTTGAAAAAATGTCTATACTGTGTGTACAGTTAAAAGGTGAAAATATTCATCTATGTTTGTCATGTTATATAATGTGGGAATGTATAATGAATTGTTTTGTAGTTTTTATTATAATCAGTTTGGGCACAATGCTAGAAAATTGCATAAGCATTTGGATTATTTCTTTCTAGTTTTAATATATTTACGTAAATATAAAAATATATTTAGATACATATTCTAGGTAGAATAAGTGATCACTGATATTAACTGTATTTAGGTTCTCTAGAGTGAGTTATGACTTGTGGGATATTGTAGTTGAATATATATTTATGTTTTTGTTAACTAATTTGTTATTTCTGTATACGCATTTTTTCTCAAGTGTGTGTTTATATAAATAAACATGGAGACTGTGGCCCTTACCTGGATCAGAATAAAATTCAACAGTTGCCTGACCACTTTGGCCCGGGCCCTGTGAATGTGGTGCTCCGGCGTACTGTGCAGGCTTGTGTGGATTGTGGCATTGACAGTAAGGCTGTTTTTGGATTCCTTAAGGCAGATAATCGTGGAGGAGAAGTAATAACTGGTATGCTCATCTAATTCTTTATTCAGCTTTTTTTCCTAATTTGATTTTCAGAGGGCAAAGATTTTATAATATGTAGATTATTTTATAATATTTCTATTCTTTTAACTGTTTATAATATTAGAATATTTATTATATTGATATAATAGAATATTTATAATAGTTATATGTTTATAGATTTGTAACCCAGTTTAACTTTACTTTTGAAATATACAATGTCAAAGTAAAATTGTAACATGAGACAAAAGGTACAGATATTTTTTCTTTTACATGCTTTGTTAAGCTCATGTACAAAGTACCTTAATGATAATAAATTTTAATTTTTTAGAAAATAGACTGATTTATAAGAAGCTCTAAATAAAAATGTGACTCAAGAAGTGATTAAGAGATAATTATACAGCTTTCATGATTTTGGGATCAGATACTATGACTTTTGTACACATGCAATGTTTGAAATAGTAGAAAGTGTCATAGATCAGTGAGTGGGTTTCTGTTGTTTATTTTATGAATATTTTTAAATGAGAATGATTTCACAAATATAAGTTATGTTTTAATGGGTGGAACTTTTATAATTTAAGGTTATTCCTTTGTAAATTACAAAAAAACCCGACAAATTAGAGTTATATTACATTTCCTAAATGTAATATGATGGCTTTTTTTGGATAATCATTGTAGTTCTCATCTTTCTGTGATATAATTCTGATACATATGTTTTCTTGTAATAGCCTCCTTTGATGGGGAAACTCATTCCATCCAGCTCCCTCCAGTGAACAGTGCATCATTTGCTCTTCGCTTTCTTGAAAACTTGTGCCACAGCATGCAATGTGATAACCTTTTGAGTAGTCAGCCTTTTAGTGCTTGCAGAGGTAATATTCTTAGTACCGCAGAGGATGATAAAAATAAACCAGGTAAGAGAAAATGTAAAATTTTATAATGTGCTTTTGTTTTATATTACAAATTATAAATAACTCCAGAATCTTGTTTAATGCAGTTTTTCCTTGTGTCCTTCTCAGAGTAAACATTTTATCTAAAATGATAATTAGACATGTATAATATACTAGAGGCCTGTTGCATGAAAATTCATGCACTTGGGGATGCGGGGTCCCTCAGCCTGGCCTGCACTCTCTTGCAGTCCAGGACCCCTCGGGGGATGTCCACCTGCCAGCTTAGGCCCGCTCCTCGTGGGATCAGGCCTAAGCTGGCAGTCAGACATCCCTCTGGCAGCCCAGGAGCCCTCGGAGGATGTGTGACTGCCATCAGTTGGACATCCTTAGTGCTGCTGAGGAGGTAAGAGAGGCTCCCGCCACCTCCGCCGCTGCTCTTGCAGCTGTCAACCCGGCTCATGACTGAGCAGAGCTCCCCCTGTGGAAGTGCACTGACCACCAGGGGGCAGCTCTTGTGTTGAGTGTCTGCTCCCTGGTGGTCATTGCACATCATAGTGACTGGTTGTTCTGGTCATTCTGGTCGTTTTACTGATTAGGGTCAATTTGCATATTAACCGCAGTCCCAGCAACAACAACAACAACAACAAAAATCACAGACATTCCAGAAAACTGGGATCTTAAGCCAGCCAAAGGAATGACATTTCAATTTTTCATTTTTACTTTTTTATTATTATTTTGTTAGCTTTTTTCCCCCCGTCTTTCTTTGTTCTCTTTTTTGTTTGTTCCTTTATTTCCTACTTCTTTTCACATTACTTTTTCAACCACGTGAGCAGCAGACATGTGAGCAACGCGCTCTTGTCCAGGGAGCATCAGCCCCGCGAGCAGCCTGCCTTGAACCTAAGAGAAGCAGCCTCATGTGGCCTGCCCCTGTCCAAGGAGCAGCAGCTGTGTGAGCGGCCCACTTCCCCGTCCGAAGAGCAACAACCACATGAGCAGTCCGACCTGTCCAAGGAGCAGCAGCCACACGAGCAGTCTTCCTACATCTGAGGAGCCGCAGCCCGCCCCCATCCGAGGAGCAGCAGCTGCACACAGCCCGCACCCTGCACTAGTCTGAGGAGCAGCAGCTGCACAAGCATCTTGCCCTCGCCCAAGCAGCAGCAGCCGCACGAGCAGCCTGCCCAATCCGAGGAACAGCAGCTGTGTGAGCAGCCCGCTCACTTCCGAGGAGCAGCATTTCTGCGAGCAGCCTGGCCCCATTAGAGGAGCAGCAGCAGCCCATCCAGCCCCGAGGAACAGCAGCCACACGAGCAGACCGCCCACATCCGAGGAGTGGCAGCCCTACGCAGCACGCACCGGTTCGAGGAGCAGAGCCACAACAGCCTGCACCTGTCCGACGAGCAGCAGCCGGTCCTAGGAGCAGTAGCCCCACAAGCAGCCCACCACATCAGAAGAACAACAGCAATGTGCAGCCAGCCCCCATTCAAGGATCAGCAGCCACGTGAGCAGTCCGCCCCAGTTCAAGGAGTAGCAGCTGCTTGTGTAGCCCGCCCCCATCCAAGGAACAGCATTCTCGTGATCAGCACACCCTCTGTCTGAGGAACAGCAGCTGTGTGTGAAGCCTCCCCCCACCAGCCAGAGGAGCCACCACAGCTGTGAACAGCACCCACCAGAGGAGCTGCTGTCAGCTGAGGAGCACCTGATACCACAACCGCCCGAGGAGCAACCACAGCACAAGGAGCCACTGCCACCCAAGGAGCAGCCCCTGAACGATTCAACATCTAGATATGTAGGTGAGATCAAACATGGGTAGACAAAGAAACCCCCAAAGGAAAGAAAAGGAGGACTCACCAGAAAAGCAACTAAGTGAAACAGAGGCATGCAGCATGATAGAAAAAGAATTCAGATTAAGGGTCCTAGAATTCATAAACCGGATGGAGGAAAAAATCAACAACTTATGCAAGAATCAAGAAGAAACAGATATGAAAAAAATCAATAAATTATGTAAGAACCAAGAAGAAATGAAGAGTGATATAGCTGCAATAAAAAACACCATTGAAAGCATCAACAGTAGACTAGGAGAAGTGGAGGACCGAATTAGCGAATTAGAAGACAGGGAAGCAAAACACACCCAAATTGAACTGCAATTGGAGAAAAAAATTAAAAGACAGGAGGAGAGCCGAAGGGAGCTATGGGACAACATGAAACAAAACAACATACGAATAATAGGGGTTCCAGAACAACAGAAAGAGGAACAAGGATTAGAAAACCTATTGGAAGAAATAATATCAAAAAACTTCGCTGAGGTGGGGAAGAAAAAAGTCACACAAGCACAGAGAGTCCCAAACAAGGTGAACCTGAAAAGACCCACACCAAGACACATCATAATAACCATGGCAAATGTTCAGGACAAAGAGAGAATCTTAAAGGCTGCAAGAGAGAGACGGAAAGTTACATACAAGGGATCTCCCATTAGATTATCAAATGATTTTCAACAGAAACACATCAGGCCAGAAAAGAATGGAAGGAAATTTACAAAGTGATGCAAAGCAAAGGACTGAATCCAAGAATACTCTATCCAGCAAGGCTATCATTCAAAATTGAAGGGGAAATAAGAAGCTTCTCAGACAAAAAAAAGGCTAAGGGAGTTTATCACCACCAAGCCAGTAATGCGAGAAATGCTAAAGGGACTGGTGTAAAAATTAGAAATAAAAAGCTCAGAAAGAAAACAGCCACAAAAAAATAGAAATGGATTAGTGAGAACCAAGATGGCGGCATAGGTTAACGCCGGAGCTTGCTGCCTCGAACAACTACTTCAAAAATACAACTAAAAGACAGAATGGACATCATCCAGAACCACAGGAAGGCTGGCTGAGTGGAAGTTCTACAACTAGGAGGAAAGAGGAAACCATACGAGACTCAGAGGAGCCACAGTGCTGAAGTGAAATACTAAGGTTCGGCGTGCATGTGGAGTGGGCTGGCGGCAGAGGGTGCAGTTGTTGTTTTCAATCGGGAGGGAGTTTCAGACTCTGAGCTCCAGATCCGGGCGAGTCTCTAGGTACCCAGACTCAAACGGGAGAAGCGGGAAGGCAGCTTTCTTTCCGAGGTCTGCAGCGGTTGCAGAGCCGCTGGGGACGGAACTGAGAGCAGCCATAACTGCTCGCTCCGCTCGCCCTGTAGATCCCCTGGGACCCGCCCCGCCCAAGCCCTGCACAGAGGCATTTGCTGGGACCCGCCACACCCAAGCCCTGCACATACAAGGGATCTCCCATTAGATTATCAAATGATTTTCAACAGAAACACATCAGGCCAGAAAAGAATGGAAGGAAATTTACAAAGGCATTTACCGGAGAGCCTCAGGCAAAGGCTAGATTAGCACCGCCCTAGAGATTCAGCACAGTAGCGCTCCCACTACAGACACAGCTGACTCTCATAGCCAGTTAGCCTGGAGGTCAATTCACCCCCGTATTGCCGACAACAATCAAGGCTTAACTACATCAAGACTGGGCACAAAGACCACAAGGGGGTGCACCAAGAAAGCATAAAAAATGCGGAGACAAAGAAACATGACAGAAATGGAGGATATAGAGCTAAAAAACGCACTTTTAAGGTCTTTCAATAATTTGCTAGAAACTGCCGATAAACTTGATGAGAGCCTCAAGAAATCTAATGAGACCCTCGATGTTGTGATAAAGAACCAACTAGAAATTAAGCATACACTGACTGAAATAAAGAATATTATACAGATACCCAACAGCAGACCAGAGGAGCGCAAGAATCAAGTCAACGATTTGAAATGCGAAGAAGTAAAAAACACCCAACCGGAAAAGCAAAATGAAAAAAGAATCCGAAAATACGAAGATAGTGTAAGGAGCCTCTGGGACAGCTTCAAGCGCACCAATATCAGAATTATAGGGGTGCCAGAAGATGAGAGACAGCAAGATATTGAAAACCTATTTGAAGAAATAATGGCAGAAAACTTCCCCTACCTGGTGAAAGAAATGGACTTACAGGTCCAAGAAGCGCAGAGAACCCCAAACAAAAGTAATCCAAAGAGGACCACACCAAGACACATCATAATTAAAATGCCAAGAGCAAAAGACAAAGAGAGAATCCTAAAAGCAGCAAGAGAAAGAAAGTCAATTACCTACAAGGGAATACCCATACGACTGTCAGCTGATTTCTCAACAGCAGCTTTGCAGGCCAGAAGGGAATGGCAAGAAATATTCAAAGTGATGAATACCAAGAACCTACAACCAAGATTACTTTATCCAGCAAAGCTATCATTCAGAATTGAAGGTCAGATAAAGAGCTTCACAGATAAGGAAAAGCTAAAGGAGTTCTTCACCACCAAACCAGTATTCTATGAAATGCTGAAAGGTATCCTTTAAGAAGAGGAAGAAGAAGAAAAAGGTAAAGATACAAATTATGAACAACAAACATGCATCTATCAACAAGTGAATCTAAGAATCAAGTGAATAAATAATATGTACAGAATGAACTGGTGATTATAATAGAACCAGGGACATAAAAAGGGAATGGACTGACTATTTTTGGGGGGGAAAGGGGAGTGGGAGATGCGGGAAGAGACTGGACAAAAATCGTGCACCTATGGATGAGGACAGTGGGTGGGGAGTGAAGGCGGAGGGTGGGGCGGGAACTGAGAGGAGGGGAGTTATGGGGGGAAAAATAGGAACAAATGTAATAATCTGAACAATAAAGATTTAATTAAAAAAAATAGAAATGGTTATAAACAAGTACCTTTTAGTAATAACTTTAAACATAAATGCACTAAATGCTCCAATCAAAAGACATCGAGTGGCTGAATGGATAAAAAAACATGACCCATACATTTGCTTTCTACAAGAGACCCACCGCAGAAGAAGGTACTCACACAGACTGAAAGTGAAGGGATGGAAAAATATCTTTCAGGCAAATGGAAATGAAAAAAAAAGCTGGGGTACCAATACTTGTATCGGACAAAATAGACCTCAAAGTGAAGGCCAACAAGAAATAAGGAAGGCTAC